GCAGCATCTCAAGGCTATCCGTTTTTATCATGGGTACGAGCCTGCGGGGGTTCACAGGCAGTGACCTCCCTTGCACGTTACAATTTGAACAAACTTGAATTTACACTACCTGAGGATGATTCCACATGAGTTTCATCGTTCCTGGCCCAGTGGTTCTTGAGAAGAAGATTTTTTAAAAATGCCATTAATTTTTCCCTAATTCATAATTATCTCCCCTTGGAAAAGGGTCTGGCCCTTCATTTGAACAATCTTGAATCCCCTTTACCCAAGGATACTTTGTAGCAAGTTTGGTTGAAATGGGCCCAGTGGTTCTTGAGAAGAAGATGAAAATGTGAAAAGTTTACAACGACAACGACGACAACAACGACGACGACGACAGACAAGTCACAACGGACAAATTTTGATCAGAAAAGCTCACTTGAGCCTTTGGCTCAGGTGAGCTAAAAATAATATAATTGGATAAAGTAAATAAACTACTAAAGTTCATACGAAACAGTTCGTAACACTAGGATTTTACTTTTTAAACATAAAGATTGGTATGAAAGAATGTTAAATTACGTTTGGTAAAAATAATTTAGCTTTTGCTTAACGGAAAAATGAAGGCCTAAACTTGCCCACTTGATATATTTGTTACCCGCTTATCGTTCTTGATTTTGTGTTTGCATGACGTCACAACGACCCATTGATGTAAAAAACGCGTTAGATCCAGTGTAATTTTAACATATTTTATTGAGTTAATTTTAGTCTTTTTTGTGGATATAAATGTGATTATGTTTTTAGATGAGCTATCTGATTTAAAAGAACAGTTTACTATGTTTAAACTTTTCGTTAATTTGGCACAGCAACTGAAAACGAGAGCTATTCATAGTAAGATGATCCTGGTGAAAACCCTGATGAAATCGATATTTTTCACTCCAACCAAGATTACTTACTATTTTAAATTGATACCTTAGAAACAACAATCTCCTTGTTGTTTTTTTTAATACGTAAATGATACATGATGTAACCCCCCCTCCCTAAATTAACACGGGGATATTGAAGTTTATGGTAAACATTGATCTATAAAAAGGCGGAGTATTTGAATGCACACTTCTGCAATCTGAAACACAAGAACTCATGAAAATGATATAGAGAAATAGGTGTATGACGACATCATCGTACTTTGAGGTATTGCTAAAATGCTGAATTGTACTACTATATTAACTCCGTACTTTTGCTGTCACAAGAAACGTGATTTTAAAAAATAACCAGCATTACAAGTATGCACGTGAATATACTTGTACTGTAATGTTACGGTACGGATACTTCTATAACAGTTTGATTGAGTAACTTCAGAAAATACCCATACAGTGCGTGCATAAGATGATCCGTTGAAAAGAAACCCAAGAATTTAATCTTTGTTGAAATAAACTGATACAAATTTAGAAAATTTGATTTGTAAATACATACAGAAACCTAGGACTACATATATAGATAGAATTGGGTTTAAAGTCTGAGGCTAACTTTTTAAACTTATTACGATATTGAAAAAGGCACATAGTGCAGTGTTTTGTGTAAATGTACCGACTTTGGTAAAAAAAATATACAGGATGACAGAGCATGCGCAGATCTAGAGGGGGGTCGGGGGGGTCAGGACCCCCCTGTAATTTACCAGGTTAAGAAATGTATATACTAAAACAAGAAAATAGTTACCATGGACCCCCCCTGGAATACGCAGACCCCCCTGGTAAACGACAATATGTGTGAAAAAGGTAAGATAAGTGAAAGATTTGAACCAATAGAAGTCACCACTACACCTCCCCCCCCCCCCCACACACACACACACACCCTAAACACACGTAGGATTTTCGAGTTTTGACATTTTTTTTTTTTTTTTTTTTTTGTCAAGAAAATTCTCGGATTGGAAATTTTTTTGACTGAGGTGGACTGTCCCTGGAAAAAAATTCTGGATCCGCGCCTGTAGAGTCAATGAGAAAGGGAAAGCCAAAGAAGGAGTATAAGGAATAACTAAGAGAGGAGAAGGCGAGGTAGCGATATCATAGAATCATTTCATTTGCATAAACAGTTAATAAATGACATCATTGTAGTTTCACTTTCACACACCGCTGTCAAACGAATCCAGCTTTACTTATATGTGCGTGCTACCGATCGATAATAGATAGTGCTCATATTCTGATCGTTCTTAAAAAATTATTGGAAATTTAACAAATCATATCTTTGTGTTATATTAATATATTCAACTGTAATGCTATTCGACAGCCTCTATATTTTTATATTACTCGAGCACAGAAGTTCTGCTCTCTGGCCATCGTTTTTTTTTTCTCCCTCTCTCTCATTAGAATGTAGAAGGATGACAATAAATTACACGGATAAAACATGCTAAAATCTTGCAAACATACAACAGGATGTTAAAAGACAAACACTATCTGGTTTGAAAATCATATATTCATGCAAAATTTTAGTCAAGACAATGCTATTTCTTAAAAATTACGCTGCATAAGACATGATCGGCTATATAAATATTAGTACTGAATGTAGCGAGTGGGTCTTATTGACGTCATAAGCAAAGGGAGATAAGCCGCGCTAGTTGAAGTTCATCTTCGCAGTCAAGTATCTTTGATCGACTCTGCTGCCTCCAACTTGCGTAAAAATTCCAAAATGTTATTTCAGGCTGATTAATGTTGCTAAGATAAACTCATTTCCGTATACAACCCAAAATATGCAGGACATTGTTTCGTATGACTTTTAAATAAGTTATAAATGAAAATTTTCAGTAAATTATTTGAAATAATAAAAGTTGGAGTGATTTTTAAATGAAATAAAATAAATATTAAATATAAATTGAATTAACTAGATAAGCTATTAAATAAGTTATAAATGATAGTTTTCCGTTAACGTTAAAGCTTTATTCTTTTCTTTAACTTTTCTATCGCCAACTTCCCTTACTTATGCAGCAATATACCTTCATCACCTGCATACGGAGTATATACATCTTAGTTGATTCAATATGCAAGAGCATGCTCTACGTATGAACGCAGGGTTAAACTGGATAGATTATTGACAAGCAAGTTGATGAAACAAGAATATCAGCAGTCTCGTTTAAAGTCATCATTTCGTAAGTTCTATGGTCGATACAATGACCTTGTCAGCAAATACAATTTATCATTGAGTCAAATGCTGACTGACGTTTTTCATACCAATTGTTAGTCCATTATTTATACACTGAATTGACGACGGATTTTTTTCCGTTATTTCCTGATCATGACAACAAGCACACGGTGGGTGTGTCCAGTCGTCAGGGGATGCTCACTCCTCCATGGCACCTGATCCTACCTCTGATGTTTCGGAGGTCCGTGTTTACTCTGCTCTTATTTTGTTTATATTGTTTAATGAACTTTGAGATTGAATACTGTTCGTTATCCCCATATCCTTCTTACTTACTTGGGTATTTAGTGATATAGTTATACACCCCTTTGGATCCACACCTGTACATATACTTTTACATGACCACACACATATCTTCTATTGGTCAGATTTTGAAATACTTAGTTTTCATTGGTTGAATGTTTGATCTTTGTAGAGTACTGAGTTTTGTTCAGAGTAAGCTCTAGATTTCTGATTTCAAATGGAGAAGACCTAGTTTACTTTGCTGTTGAAATTATTTATTTCCAAGGACCATAGACCTAGAGACAGTTCCTGAAATGTACGTTTTTACTTGTTTTATGGTTCAAGATATGTTTTCTATAATATAATGTTAAAAGGGGAAAAACAAGATATTTTGCTTTTAAATGTTAAGATATTGAGTTATCTGTGTAACTTTTATATTGATAAATCTGATGGAATTTTCTTGTAAATAAATATTAAATATTTAAACCTAGAAATACTTTGAAGTGAAGATTTTGGTTTTCAAGATTATTTGAATATCTATTAATTATGAGAAAGGTATTTGTAAAGAACAAATCCTGATTTAATTACATTTATTGTACATAGGTATCTCCATAAGTAGAGAATATGTAAACTTGCATTGGAGAAAGTTCAGTTCCATAAATTGGTATGTCTATTTATTATATATGCAGATGTCATAACAGTATTACACTTTGGTTCACGTCAAATCATCTCTGACGCAAAATAATCCCGGAATCTTCCCTTCCGATTCGGGCATTTTGATACGAGACTGGAGCTGAATTTTTTGATGAGATGAAAAACAACATGTAAACTTCCTGTATTGACCAGATTTATTAAAATTTAGGGAGTTCTGATTTTTCTATTTACTGTCAAGAGTGGGGAGTGATTAGGCCCTGGACTAGATTTTCAAGCACTTGCTCGACTTCGACCGAAACAAACTTGCGTGCCTTGTTGGATGGCTATGTATTTTTTGGTACTAAAATCTTTATAAAGAATGGTTTTACAAGATCTGAAAAGGAAACTTCTCAGAAGTTTGTTTTGAATTAGTTACATCTACTCAAACTTGCGTATTTTTGGTAAGAATATATAGCAGAAATTAATACTGTTGTGACACCTGAAATAAAGATACATCAAAGAAAGATAACTCTTCACAATTTTGTAAAGCGTAATTGTGTTATAAGAGTTAACTCCCTTATATCATGTGTAAAGTATATTTCTAATGTATGTTATCATTATGAATAAAAGGGAAGACAGATAATTTGTTATATTTTATAATCGGATTATTTAATTGAAATATTATTTTGTACATATTTTTATGACGCAATTTGTATATTGCAGGACATATCCATTAAATCTATTATAAATTCCATATCATCGATATAGTTGGGGATCAAAGAAGACTTCATTATATCCGTGAATTCACAATTTCCGTGTTCATCATGTTCATACTAACCGAGTTTTACTGTAAATATTATTGTTTACATTGTGATAGGTTGCAAAATTGAACCTCTCTCTGTTTAAATTCTGTTTCCGTTACTACAATAAATCAATGTAAATCAAAATACTTGAGTATCACAACATTATATTATTATACCTTAGTAAGTGTTGATATCATGACGTTTGTAATATCTTGATATCACTTTTCCTGTCTTACCTTTGTAAGTCCACACGGAGAAGATTGATCCCTCTTGATTATCTTTCTCTTTACTGACAACATCTTCAAACTTCTTAGTCATATCCAACACAAGGATAAAGAAGGCCTTTGGTGTTACATAAATTTGGTGACAGGCATAGTACGCCAATTGACCAGCGAAATCCAGCATGCTTACTGTTGGTAACTTTTCTTTCTCAGACAAAATTTTTTCAAAAATTTCATCAATAACCATTGCTTGTGCCTCTGAGGAGAAAACACTGGCCATTATTTTTACTGTATTTTCTTCTTCTTTGCCTTCACTTGGTGACCTAGACATTTCAATATTCTCTTTTTTCTTTACTTCTTTGGACAACTCAACATCCTTTTCTTTCTTTCCTTCTCGGCTATAAATTACTTCAGTGCCTTTATCAGTACTCCCTAGATCCAAATTGTCTACTTGTTCATTTGTACTGGAGATATCAACTGCACTAGCCGGGTCTGGTTTTAAATCTGCAGTGTTTATCCTGATAAATGTCTTCAATGGTGAGTCATCATCTGCCACTGTAAAAAAAATTCTGTAATTTAGTGAAAGATTTCTTTTTAAAGCACATCATTTCGTGGTTATATTTCTCTTTTATCAAAACTTAGGATCAAGAAGATAAAATTTACAGAATGTATCATATTTTTTCGAATAGAATACTCAGTATTCAATGCAGATAAAGAAATACAAAATACAACATCCTTTTTTACAGTTTGTATGGGTAATTATTTTTTTTTCATATATCTTCACAGATCAGGCACGGATCCAGAAATTTTTTCCAGGGGGGGTCCACCTCAGTAAAAAATAATTCCAATCCCAGAAATTTCTTGACAAGCAAAAAAAAATAAATAAATAAATGAACTCGCCAAAACGTCAAAAACCTATTTCGTGGGGGGGGGGGGGGGGGGGGGGGGGGGGAGAGAGAGAGAGAGGAGATAGTGGTGACTTCTATTGCTTCAAATCTTTCACTTATCATACCCACTTCACACATATTTTCAATTACCAGGGGGGTCTGAGTTTTCCAGGGGGGGGGGGGGGCCATGGTAGCTATTTTCTTGTTTTAGTATATACTTTATTTTATCTGTTAAATTCCAGGGGGGGGGGCCCTGACCCCCCCAACCCCCCCCTCTAGATCCGCGCATGCAGATTATTGGTGGAGTAAGAAAGTGGGCGCACTAGATAGGCATTCGGCAGGAATCACTGACATGAAACAATTCAGATTTAAATGTCCAAGCACCATGTAGTTTTAATATCTTACACATCTAGAAACTGGATGGGAATGGATTTCTGTCTTATGTTTGTTTATTTGTAAATAATTGTTTCAATTGAAAGGTGTCAAGAAAGATAAATTATCTATGCTGGATACATCAGCTGTACATGTAATATAATATAATAAAAGTTTAACACTAAATAATTTTTGTGCTCCGTTTTCAAATGCACTGAAAATATTGAATGTAACAGAACGATCGAGGTTGCTAGTTTTTAAATTTTTTTCTTTAGGTGTAACTTTGTATTTACAAGTTCATGTATGTTTTTTTTTCTATTTGAGAACGTTAGCACTATATATGTCAAAATGTAAACACCTTGAAAAATAAAACAATTAATGTAAAATAACTTATAAAACATAATTTGCTACTTTATTCAAAGTGTATTTATTTTTACTATAAATTCAAAAATTTCAAGCACAAAGAAAAATAAAATAAAATAAATCACTGTATTCGAACCTAAAATACTGCTTCGATAAGGATCGAATCCAGCAACAAACCAATGTAGCTACCGCGGAACACTATACATAGATGGTATTTAAATCATTATTTAAACCAAAGCCCTATACATTTGGACTTTGTCAATTTTCTACCACAAAATAAATGGTAAAAGTTTAAATTTTGGTTTTTCTGGGTCGTCTCTCCATTTTTTAGGTAACTGGAATAAATTTTACGGTTAAAAATACACTGATAACACATTTAAAATTAATGGAGAAAAGACCCAGAAACAACAAAATTAATGAAAAACGGCTATAAAAAGAGTCGATTTTTGCATCATTTGACTCGTACAGCTATATTCAGGTGCTATTTCAAATAAAATCAAACATATTTAACTGAATATTTGCCCATTTTACATTTACCTACAACACAGTAATTGGCTAGGTTTTGAAAAACATGTATAAATCAATGATATTTTTTTATTCTTTCTATGAGCCACTATTCCTGCCGAATTGCCATCTAAAGCGCCCACTTTCTTTACTTTAAGAAGCAGATTTCAAAGCATTAATTCATTTAATTAGATCCCCCTCTCAATCTTCTACCTTATCCCTGACCCAGGAGCCTTGAAATTCACAGGTAGAAGAACCCTTGTTCATCACTATGTACTGGGTAGTTCAACTGCTAAATACATGTACCAACAAGCAGATGAGAGGATTTTTTAAAGAAATAAGGTATCAATTTTTGAGTTTTATTGGGATGTAAAACGGGTTGGGCGCTAAGGGCTTTATGGAATATTTGATCATGTGCCAACCCGTTTTACATCCCAATAATACTCAAAAAATGATACCTCTATTACTTATATTTACATTTGTGACTTATTCATACTTTTAATTTGCCTGATTGTGACTTTTAACTTGTGAATTGCAATATTTTTCAAACCCAACGTCATGTATGTAATCCACTGAACGCGCGTCGACCCTTTATGACGTCACTGAGAAATTACGTCGAACGTTTATCCATACGAACATCTATGACCTCTTGACCTCGTATCTGTATTTACGCAGATATAAAACCGCTTGCTTTCAATAGTGTTATATAAAGGAAAACATGTGCAAATGTGATTATAAAGAAATAATGCATTTTCGCTTTATAATCAAAATAGCACCGCCCGAAAATCCAAACTCCTGACCCAGGGGCCATGACATTCATAATTTTCAAAGAGGCACCTTTCTTTATTGGGGTTTTCTGGGAAATACTAGTGTTGCGAATTACTACTGGTCAATACCGGTATTTCCTGTCCCGATAAATACTTTGTAAATTTTTCATTTAAGTCACTGAATAACGTCGGATTTATGGCATTTTTGATTTTTTTTATTACGTAGAATGGCAATAATGTTTGTGATTCACAAAAGAGCTTTATGTTCCAAACAAGAATCTTTCATAAAGAGAAAATGTACTGAAATTGTTGTAAACCTTCTAAAATTCCATTTCTAACAAAGAAAAGATGTTGATGGACTTCGAGGCCCCTGGTGGACTCTGTAATTTCACCAACATTTTGTCGTTTCCCTCTTAATCGCTTCAGCAGTGTTGTTAGTCCCTTAGTCAACTTTTTCACTTCACTGCGATTTTGGCATTGCTCTCTTAATCTCTTCAGTAGAGTTGTTTTTCCAGCCTCACCACATCCAACAAGTATTCCTCGGGCATGAAAAACAGTTGTTTTCTCCTCTTTAAGAAACTCTACAAAACAAATAGAAACAAAAATAATAAAGACTGATTTAATTATTTATATTTTAGAACAAAACGCGCATTTTTGACAACAGAGTATTTTAAGTAAAAATCTGAACCTAGCTAGTTTAATTTGCTTCATGGAAGATGCAGAAGATAAGTTCTCTGACTAAAAATTTGGAAAGACTTGTAAGTTCTATTTTAGCAATAATGATTTTAAAATACTTTCAGTAATTCGTGGATATTGGGTCAGGCGAGTCTAGTGAAGATGAGGTTCTAGTGAAGATGAGGTCAGGACAAATGAAGATGAGGTCATGTCTAGTGAAGATGAGGTCAGGTCTAGTGAAGATGAGGTCAGGACAAGTGAAGATGAGGTCAATTCTAGTGAGGATGAGTTTCTAGTGAGGATGTGGTTTTAGTAAAGAGGAGGTCAGGACAAGTGAAGATGAGGTCAGGTCTAGTGAAGATGAGGTCAGGTCAAGTGAAGATGAGGTCAGGACAAGTGAAAATGAGGTCAGGTCTAGTGAAGATGAGGTTCTAGTGAAGATGAGATCAGGACAAGTGAAGATGAGGTCAAGTCAAGTGAAGATGAGGTCAGGTCTAGTGAAGATGAGGTTCTAGTGAAGATGAGATCAGGACAAGTGAAGATGAGGTCATGTCTATTGAGGATGAGGTCAGGTCTAGTGAAGATGAGGTCATGTCTAGTGAGGATGAGGTCAGGTGTAGTGAAGATGAGGTCATGTCTAGTGAGGATGAGGTTTTAGTGAAGATGAGGTCAGGTCTAGTGAAGATGAGGTCAGGTCTTTAGTAAGTGAAATTGTTTGTTAGGCCGACAAGTCTTGTTTGTTTTATATTTATTGATGAACCCTATAGTTATTGCTGTTCAAAATGAAAATGAATTCAAAACTCTTATTTGGTAGCTCTGGCATACTAATTGACTTAGTTGATACAAGATGTGTTATGAATGATGTCAAACTACTTCCTTTTTTGAGAATCATTCTTTTAATCAAAGACATTCAATATTGAGAAATTCTGCAGTTTTAAACGATCATTAAATTAAAGGAAATTTTACACCCCTTCCCCCCCTCCCCCTTCTGTTATATAACATAATAATTCCAAGCTTCATTTTATTTATTGATTATCTGTGTTTTGATTGGACGAGAACACATTTTAGAACAAGAGGCCCAGGGGCCACAGCGCTCACCTGAGCACATCAGGCTTGAATTTACCCCCTCCCCCCCTCCAGGCGTTCATCATTTGAACAAACTAGAATCTACACTACCTGAGGATGATTCCATAAAAATATCACTAATCATACCTTTGAAGTACTTGAAAAGAAGATTTTAAAAGGTTTGCCTATATATTCCTATGTAAAACTTGGGTCGGCCATTTTGGCCCCGCCCTAGCCCCGGGGGTCATGATTTGAACAAACTTGAATCTACTCTACCTGAGGATGCTTCCACATGAGTTTCATCTTTCCTGGCCCAGTGGTTCTTGAGAAGAAGATTTTTAAAGATTTTTCTTATATATTCCTATGTAAAACTAGGGTCGGCCATTTTGGCCCCACCCTTGCCCGGGGGTCATGATTTGAACAAACTTGAATCTACACTACCTGAGGATGATTCCACATGAGTTTCATCTTTCCTCGTCCAGTAGTTCTGGAGAAGAAGATTTTTAAAGATTTTTCCTATATATTCATATGTAAAACTTGGGTCAGCCATTTTGGCCCCACCTTTGCCCCAGGGGTCATGATTTGAACAAACTTAAATCTGCTCTACCTGAGGATGATTCCACATGAGTTTCATCTTTCCTGGCCCAGTGGTTCTGGAGAAGAAGATTTTTAAAGATTTTTCCTATATATTCCTATGTAAAACTTTGGTCGGCCATTTTGGCCCCACCCTTTCCCCGGGGGTCATGATTTGAACAAATTTGAATCCACACTACCTGAGGATGATTCCACATGAGTTTCATCTTTCCTGGCCCAATGGTTCTGGAGAAGAAGATTTTTAAAGATTTTTCTAATAAATTCCTATGTAAAACTTTGGTCGGCCATTTTGGCCCCGCCCTTGCCCCGGGGGTCATGATTTGAACAAACTTGAATCTACACTACCTGAGGATGATTCCACATGAGTTTCATCTTTCCTGGTCCAGCTGTTCTGGAGAAGAAGATTTTTTTAAAATTGCCATTAATTTTTAACAAATTCATGATTATCTCCCCTTGGAAAAGGGCGTGGCCCTTCATTTGAACAAACTTGAATCCCCTTCACCCAAGGATACTTTGTGCCAAGTTTGGTTAAAATTGGCCCAGTGGTTCTTGAGAAGAAGATGAAAATGTGAAAAGTTTACAACAACGACAACGACAACGCCGACAACGACAACGACGACAACGCCGACAACGACGACAACGACAGACAACGGACAAATTGTGATCAGAAAAGCTCACTTGAGCCTTCGGCTCAGGTGAGCTAAAAAGTTTACACATCGATGAATTTTTCAATCAGAACTACTTTCTTGACGAAGCTTCTGGGCTATCGTATAAACAATGACAGCAGTTATTTCTGGTCTTTTTAGCTAAATATTGAATACAAGAAACTTCAAATTTAATTAAATAAAATAAAACTGGCAACAAACACTGAAACAGGACTGACAGGCGGGAATATTATGTTTATGTCACTGTCGGATCACGAGTGTGAATTTAAAAAAAAATCGCTGATCATGCTGTCATTTTCTCGACGTTCCATATCAGCTCAGTTGGTATCTTTGTGATAGGGAAAAGAAACGTACCTCAGACTCTTGCCTTATCAGGATCAAATTCATATATTTACATCCTACAGATCTCATATTCTCCATAAATCTTTGAACGAACCAGAGCTAATCGAGGACATCGTCGGTCTGCTACTTTTACTATGAGCGTTGTCGTTAGTCAACATGGCCATGGTCAAGTACGAATTATTCTGGAGAATAGGAGTATTTACGATATTTGTTGACTTAAACAACATTCAGTGAGTTTTTATAAGTTTATTTATTGATTGTTTTGACAATTTAAGTTGGATTTTATCGATATTCATCTTGTATTCGTTTCTTTGCGGCATGAAGTATTACTACGCCGTACAAAATAATGGATTGTATGGCGGCCTCTTAGAGAAATAATTTTAATAATTTTAAAAATTCGTAATTGGAATTATAAGAATTAAACGTTCTTTTTTCCAGAATTTATCGATGTGTAAACTCTGCCTTTTTACTCACAAACTTTACATAAAAGTGCTTCGCATTTTTATTCAGTTTGTGAGTAAAAAGGCAGAGTTTACACATCGATAAATTCTGAAAAAGAAGTTTAATCCTATAATAAATATGAAGACAATTCAATGAAATTTACATACTAATTTATATATACATGTATTAAGTTGGATAATATTCATACATTTCATCATTTCTGCATCAAATTATTTTATGTACTGGACAAAAAAAATTTAGGATCATCAAATTAAATATAATTTACAAATACTGTATCATAGAAAACAGAATGCAGTTTTAATTTTAGTATCATACTTTATATTTTAAAAGTGAAAATTAAACATTGGATGTGATAAATTTGTTTGAACACACGCTACAGTTTGTTCATTACGTCCACTTTAGAATTCGACATGTTGGGGGTGACCTGAAAGTGAGATTTTTTCCAGAAGAGTCAAATTCCGTCACTAAAATGATTGCCAGTATTTTGTATGACCTCCCTGCGAGGCCCTGCAGCACAGACCCATGCTGCCCATCAGCCGTCCAAGGCTAGCCTGAGGGATCTGTTGAACTTCCTCCTGCAAGGCAGTCTGAAGTCCCCATCGATTTTGGGAAGTGTAAGATGAACTGAAATCCGTTGTTCAAGAATGTTCCATGCATGTTCAGTTAACTTTAGGTCTAGAAAATGACTTTGCAGGTCCATACCCTAAGTTGTTCCACTTTCCATGTATTCGTTTGCGATTTTGACTCTATGAGGTCGAGCATTATCGTCCATTAAGATTAAATTCTTCCCCAGAGTACATCCAATATGTCTAAAAATAGGATGAAGAATAACATTTCGGTATTTTAAACCTGTCAGGTTGCCTTCAATACTGTGCAGATCAGTTTTACATTCGATACTTTTGCCTGCCCAAATCATCACCAAACCTCCGTTTACTCTGTATTGCTCAGAAATGACACAATCAGCAGATCTTTCCCCATTTGCAATCCAAACAAGTCTTCTGTCATCATGGAAGTCAAAACAAAAGTGAGACTGGTCTGAGAAGAGAGCATCTAGCACCAATGGCGTTATTGCCAAATTTTTGTGTTCTGTTGCCCACTGTAGTCAATTTCTGCTGCACTCTAATTCTAATACAGGACGTACCGCTGATTCGAGCAAGCCTCGAGATTTGCTTCCTGAAGTCTGTTTCAAACTGTTTGTCTAGAAATCCGTCTGTCCATTGCAATTGCTCCCAGATGTCCAGTATTAAGCTTAAGAGCCCGTTAGTAGTGTAAAACACCCATTGCAATGAATTTGTACATAATTATGATTTTATCATGTTTATTGGAGTTAGCACAGCACATGTATCAGTCGAACACGTGCATATCCGATGTTTATGTAGACCGTCATTTGATTGGCTATAATATTTATCGAATACCTGTTCTACAGGTATTTGATTGAATACTTTGACCGATTTTTCCTTTTTAAAGAAATGGGTGTGTCTAAAGATAGCTCAAAACGTTCCATCCAAACAGAAAATTTCACCACTTCAATGCCCTTCATTGTACTTTAGTGACGAATATGTCCCAAACTCATTAAAGACGTGTGACTTAAGTATCGAATCGTGTTAATGACATGTTTTAAAAACTACTTTAGCCTTGTTGTCACATAAATTCATGGGTATAAAAATATTATTTTTGTGTAAAAATATGATCCCTAACTTATTTTAAATGTCTTTAGATATAACATACTGTATATTAATAATTTTCAAAGATTTATAAACCCACTGGGACATTTTCAA